TTCCTTTTCTCGCAGAACCCACCTGCTGTCAACAAAGTCGACAGTGCCCCGTCCGGTGGATGTTATTATTTCATTTTCTCCCATCATTTGTTGCACAGTATTCACTCAAAAACTAATAATAATAGAAATATAAGCAACTAATGACAACAAAATTACCGAAAACACCAGGATCGATTAGATAATCGGATCTCATGTTGTGGATGCTCTTTTACGCCGGATGCAACTGCGTTAAACCCTTCAGTCTTAGGCTGCATACCTTCAGTTAGTATCCACTGCCTGTTCTGTGCCATTTCAAAAAGTCATTCAAGTATTCGTTTGCTTTCTGGCTGGTACCAATTAATAAAGATGATAATAAAAGCCTTAATTATAATAAAAAAAAATTACGAAAAAATGTGAGATTTCCGACGTTCCAGCATGTTGTTTTTGGCGTAAACGCCACTTTAACTGACAACGGACTACGGGTGCACTCAAGGCACATCTGAACAACATGGACGAATTTTCTCTTGTTTTTTTTTGATTAAATTTTTCATTTCATAAAAGAAACACCACAGATGCATTTTGCTTCGTAATATGCTATATTTACCCAGAATGCGTACGATGCGTTCTCCCTCCTCCCATCACCCTTCAATCCCTTTTCTCTCCCTCTTCCCCTCCCCTTCGCATTATTCAGTATTCTTTAAAAATTCTTGTTAACGATGCACCTAAAGAAATTTGTGCTCGACGCCTCTGCGACAGACTGTCACGATCAGCAGACTCTTTGGTGCAGAACCTCGGCACAAAGGGATACAGACAGAACGATAAAAGCTAAAAGTAAAGGTATTCATTCACGTTTACTTACTTACACAAAAGATATCACGGCAGAGCTGAAATGGGCGAGGAGGAAATCATAACAAGAGAGGTGGAAGAGTTCAGAAGCTAAGAAAATAATGAGGTAAGACATTTTTGTCCATTAAACTCTTCATTTGTAAGATAGGCGGACTGACTGAAAGATACACACACACGCACACACGCATAATCTCGCTCTGTTGCGTTGCTGCGCGATATTTGGGATGCAAAAGCGTACACCGCAACTTTAGATATTTTCGAATTTCAGTAACATTACTAACGTGGGATCCACTCATCAATTGCCCAGACGAACCGAATAATGTCGATAAAACAATACATTTTTAGGAAAAAAGAAGTACCTCTCGAGCCATTCCTTTGGGCGTCCTTGTGAGTGCTTGTAATGGTCACTGGCAAAAGTAGTTGCTTGATGGGCCAGAAGGAACGGCTCGACCAGGGCCAGGGTGCCGGATTTGTTTACTGCCGCCTCCATTTCCTTTGTGCTGCCAAGCATGCAAATTGCCAGGCAGGCATAGTAACGTGTGATATCGTCCGGCTGTGACGCGAGCAGGAATAACCAGTCCGGCACCTACAATTCCAAACATATTAGTTTCATCACATTCTACTAGATCTAAGCATTTTAACCCCTTCTTGAAGTAGTCACTATGCGTTTTTTGCAGCTATGCAATGCAGAAACGCATATTGACGAGGGGTTGTCTGTGTGCGTGTCCGTGTATCTGTGTGTCCGTGCGTGCGCCTGTCACGGTTTTTCAACTCAAGACCTACAAAAG